CCAGAAAAAGGCCAAAAACATGGATTTCCCATAGAATTTTGAAAGATTTTGACATTTGCTTCCTTTCGGCCTTCCGACGGCCCGAGACGGCCCAAGAGCTCCCAAAGATCGCCCAAAGATCGCCCAAGACGGCCTCCAAGATGGCCCCAGAACTGCCCAAGAGGCCCCCAAGACGGCCTCAAGAGGCCCCCAAGACGGCCCAGGAAGCCTTTAAGACGCCCAAGATGGCCTCCCAAACTGCCCTGGAGCATTCCAAGAGGGCCCCAAGTCGACCTAGAAAGGCCACCCAAACGGCTTCCGACTGCGTCAGACGGGCCAGGAGCCCACCAAGACGGCCGAAGATGGCCCTAAGATGGCCCAAGACGGCCCAAGAGGCATCCAAGAGGGCCTGCAGGAAGGCCCGAAAAGTCCAGTTTCATTGATTTCCCATGAGTTTTTGAAGAATTATGGCATGTGCTTTTTCTCTGCCTTCCGACGGCCCGAGAGGCCCAAGTGCCCCCAAAGATCGCCCAAGAGGCCCAAGACGGCCCCAAGAGGCCCCCAAGACGGCCCAAGAGGCCTCCAAGACGCTCAAGATGGCCTCCAAGACGGCCCAAGAGCCCTCCAAGACGTCCTCCAAGACGGCCCGAAAGGGTCAAAGTAGCCTCCCGACGGCCAAGATGACCTTCAAGATGCCCACGTGTTCCCCGAAGGCTTTCCAAACCGATTCGGGGAACACATGGTCCGATAGCTTGGCAAGTCTGGCCTCAACGTTCGGCCACATAGGCGCTTCCAAAAAGGCAAGGGGCGATGGTGATTCGCCGTAGGCGTCTTCGATCCGCCGCCCACTGTTGGCTTGCCACAGGGGTGCCCGGCGTGCGAGATTATTTCGGTTTTGGTTTTGGTTCTTTTCCTGAAAGAACTCCCCCTGGGGCTTCGGCCCGTCCCGCCGGGGTGCCGGGAAGCTCTTCCAGGACCGCAAACGACCTCAACGTCCGGAACAAATTCTTCAAGACGGCTCAAGATGGCCTCCAAGATGGCCACGTTGGCCCAAGATGGCCTCCAAGATAGTCCAAAATACCCTCAACGTCCGCCCAAGATGGTTCAAGACGGCCTCCAAGACGGCCTAAGAGAGTCCAAGATACCTCCAAGTTCGCTCAAGAAGCCTCGAAGACGGCCCAAGAGGCCTCCAAGAGGTCCTCCAGGAAGGCCAGAAAAGGCCAACATCATTGATTTTCCGGTGGTCTTTGAAAGATTTCGGCATTCGCTTCTTCTCTGCTTTCCGACGACCCAAGACGGCCCAAGGGCCCCCAAGATCGCCCCCACAGCGCCCAAGAGGCCTCCAAGATGGCATCAGGACTGCCCAAGAGGCCCCCAAGACGGCCCCCAAGAGGGCACAAAGACGACCCAAGAGGCCGCCAAGACGCCCAAGATGGCCTCTAAGACGGCCCTAGCACCCCAAGAGGGCCTCAAGTCGACCCAAAAAGGCCCCCCAAACGGCTTCCGACGGCGTCCGACGGGCCAGGAGCCCACCAAGATAGTCGAAGTTGGCTCGAAGCTGACCCAAGACGGCCCAAGAGGCCTCCAAGAGGGCCTCCAGGAAGGCCCGAAAAGTCCAATTTCATTGATTTCCCATGAGTTTTTGAAGGATTATGGCATTTGCTTTTTCTCTGCCTTCCGACGGCCCGAGACGGCCCAAGTGCCCCCAAAGATCGCCCAAGAGGCCCCCAAGACAGCCCAAGAGGCCTCCAAGACGCTCAAGATGGCCTCCAAGACGGCCCAAGAGCCCACCAAGACATACTCCGAGAAGGCCCGAAAGGGTCAAAGTGGCCTCCAGGCGGCCAAGATGACCTTCAAAATGCCCACGTGTTCCCCGAAGGCTTTCCAAACCGACTCGGGGAACACCTGGTCCGATAGCTTGGCGGGTCTGGCCTCAACGTTCGGCCACATAGGCGCTTCCAAAAAGGCAGGGGGCGGCGGTGATTCGCCGCAGGCGTCTTCGATATATCCAAGCCTCGGAATCGATTGCCTGCCAACCAGATCCGACATTGCGACCAAACTTGCGGCATCGGGAGAAATCGCGACCAGAGCCCTGGTCCACATCTTACTGTGTGCACCAGGCCACGGGAAACAGTGACACACCAGGTTGATCGACCTCTTACCAAGAGCTCATCTTTCGTTATCTCGTGACCAGCTCCGCCCCGCCCTGCCCCCGTCACGTCACGATTCGTGTTGGCATCGTCTGGGAATCAAGCTTCTCTGACTTAACGCTGCCAAGACGGCGCTGGCGCGAATCGTGGCGATACGGGCCCTTCCCCTCCTCATCCCCGTCACGCCCATTAAGGCCAGGGGACAAAACAAATCTCCCAATCAGTTCAATAGCCCAAAATTGCAACATCGCAAAAACGGCGCCAAGGGCACAATCTTTCTGCTGCAGTTTTAGAGCTGGCTGGATCTGTGATGGTCCCAGGGCCCAACACGGTGCGAAAGCGCCGAGCGTGAAAGAATGCAGCGGCCAGACCTGAGGGAAGCCGGAGTGGCGAAGCCCCGCAGGGCAGGGGCTGTCCTCGGCTCGGCCCTCCAGCAAGTGGTTCACCTGGCGCAGTAGGGGAGCGAAGAGGACACAAGAGGCACTGCCCCAGCGACCTCGGGCCAGCGAGCACTGAGGCTGCCAACCGGCCCCGAAAGCCTACGACCCTGCGCCTGTGAGCTCCGACACAAAACAATTGAAATGTGCATGTCGGGCCGTCGGGTGTAGGGTCAAAGAGGAGGGACGGAAGAAAATCGCACCTGGATTCAGGAACAGGTGAGCCTCCAGCCGAGTTCGTTCCCGGGCCCCACCCTGGCCCCCCCCCCCCGCTCGACGAAGCCCGAGGACCGAGAAATAGGGTCTGAAAATCTGGAGCTGGGCGAACCGCTCTGAAATGGTCGAGCGTGCTCGAGTGAATCACGCGCATGCGAATCAGACAACCGATGCCGATCCCTCCGGAGCATTCGAGCTTGTTATGTTTCCGCTGGTGCTAGGAAGGCACGACAGAGGGAAGAAGTCAAGCTCTTAGCAACACCAAAAATCGAGCGGGCGGGCCACATGAGACGCTCATGACCGCGGCGGAAGCATGATCGTTGTGGGTCGATCCTGCAGAAACCACTCAGCTCAACGGTGGTCGACAATAACTCCTTTAGCCGCACATCCTTTCGTGGAAACTGCCCGGTGCCAGACCCAGCGGGCGCTGGCCCGCAAAAATACTGCGGCCGCAATGGCCTCTCCATACCGAGACAAAAGAATTCGCCAATCGACCTTGTCAGGGTGGGGCTTCTTATCTGCGAGGCCGCGATGTACCCAAATCCCTCGTCTGCGGAACGGGCGTCGTAGGAGTCCACCGTGCTTTTGGATATAGATTTTTTGTTGGACCCATGGGCCCAGAGCATATCCGTACTATCGGCCTGCCGAGATCTTCGAAATTCGCTCCCACACGCGGTGGTCATAGAACAATCCCCGTCTCGGAATATCACCAAACGGCTCCAGAAACAACGAGACGCCTCATTGCGGCGCAGAATATCTGCGGCGTGCTCGTGCCCCTGCCCGCCATTGTACCGTCTTGGCCGCAACTCCGCCTCCTGCTCGTCGCGCTGCTGCTGACTGCTGCTACTCTGCTTGCTGCTGCTGGTACTGTCGGTGTCATGCTTGCTGCTGGTGGCGCTGCTGGGGCTGCTGATTTTGGTGGTGCTGCTGCTGGTGCTGCTGCTGGTGCTGGTGATGTCTGGTGCTGGGGCTGGTGGTCCTGGCGCTGCAACCTATCGCGAGGCTGACACGGCAAGTGGTGCTGCTGGCGTTATGCCGGTGCTGTGCTGGAGCTGCTGGCGCAGCAGCCAAGGGTGACGCGGCCGTGGATGGGCCGAATGAGTCAGGCAGGCCGCCAGGATGCCTTGTCCGCGGAAGCAAACTTGATAATGAAAGGCCAAGAAGAGGTGCTCCAGAACAACGGGAACCGTAAACAATAGAACCGCACGCGAAAACGCGTGTGGAACGCTATGGGCGATCATCAGAAACGACCATGCCATATTTTCGAATCTTCCGTGACACAGGTTCGAGCACACACAATCAACATACGTGACACGATCCTAGTTAAGGGCCTAACCATATGCAATTTGAATACCGTCGTTGCGGGTATCGCCTTCGGGGGATCTCATCATGGGGCCATGAAGTATGCGAAGGGTGTGCCGGTATAGGGCGGGGCCGCCATGTGGGCGTTGCCACTGGGGCCCTGGGTGGAAACGATTATGGGGAACCCCCTACGGCGCCATGGAACGCTGTATTGGGTGGGGGACACGCAGGCAAACACCGCCACAGGCGAAGCACTGTGCTGGGCGGTGGAGACGCATGTGGACACCGCCGCGGGGGCCTCAGGTCTCTCTCTCTCTAACCACGAAGCGCTGTACTGAGTGAGGGGGAGCACGAACGCCGCGACTGGGGCCTTCGGTGGAGCCCCCTGTGGGGCCGCCACGAAGCGCTGAACTGGTTGGAGGAAGCGCATGCGAACACCGCCTCTGGGGCTTTCGGTGGTGCCCCCCCCATGGGGCCCCGAAGCGATGCACTGGGCGGGGGAGACGTATGTGAAAGCAACCCATGGGGCCTTCGGTGGAGCCCCCCATGGGGCCACGAAGCGCTGCACTGGGTGGGGGAGACGCATGCGAACACCACCACTGGGGCGTTCGGTGAAGCCCACTGGGGCTACGAACCGCTGTATTTGGGTGGTGGAGACGTATGCGAAAGCCGCCACTGGGGCCTTCGGTGGAGCCCCCCATGGCGCAAGTGGTCAGCGGAATCGCGCAGTGGTATCTATCTCCTCGATATTTTCCTGAACTCCAAAAGCTTAAGCTCGACCCATCGAGCTTCCTTGTCACTCCGCGCCTCTCAGCGCAAGCGAGGGGGCGCTAGGGCCAAAAAGGCAGCAGTACACATATGGACGGGCCCTGCAAAGCACCTCGCTCACACTCCTTGCACTCTCGAATATCAATGCTCAGGCTTGCTCAGAACCAGATCTGCACGGATAAGGGCCCTCCAAGCTGAGCCTGCTACCTTCGTCTGTCTCATCACTCGAGAGGGGCTCGTAATCAGGAATCTCCAGATTACCTGCTCCAGAGGCTGGCCCCCTCGATGACCCCGAGCTCCTCAAGACCTCCAGTGGGACATTCTCGAATGGAAGGATCCCTGCTGCTTTCCGTTTACGTGCGCTCTGGTACTTGGCGTCGTAGACCAGCTTCCAGCGGTGGCCGCTGTTGAAGTGCATCCTTAGCTGTCCTGGCTCGCGCCCCTTGGTCAGTGAGTCTGCTAGTTGAGCATCGCCGTGGGCCCAGAGCATCCAGTTGTTGGCGGCCTGGGTTCCCTCCTTCCAAGCCATCGCCTCCACGTCGGTCCGCTTCTCCCTGCCGCGGAAGGTGTAGACTGTAGTTTGGGGCTTGTCGCACAGGCCCTTGGCATCCACCGCAGCAGCCCCTGGCAGCTTGGCAAGCGCATCCTCCGGGTTGCGCCGGTCGATGGAGTTGCCGAGCATCTCGAGGCGCCGCAGCTTGATGCCGAACAGCTCGTCCTCCGCATCCACAGCGAACCGTGTCTCGCTGGCGACGGGCTGCGGCGGCCTCGGTCGATCTTGCCTGACTTCCACGACGCCAGGCCCACGTCGGTCTCGTCACCCTTCGAGATCTTCAGCGGGGCCACACCTGCAATCGGGCCCTTGGTGGACTTCCCGTCGGGCCGGTTCGACTTGGATGAGTCGGACTACTCCATCGGCGCCAACACCTGGGCCTGAGAGTGGCTGTGGATCACCGCTGGCAGCTCCGCGCATTCTCGCGCCCGGTCGACCAGCCAGTTCGTCTCGTTGACGGTCTGCGCCGTTGGCGAGGGGATCTTGCTCAACAGCAGGCTTGCGTCAGCCGGGCGCACTGGGCCAGACTGCTCGGAGTGCCAGCCGACGGCGCCCAAGATTGCTCTGAGCTGACCCTGCTCCTTGTCGGCGGTCCCCGCGTCCTTGTTCCTCTTGCGCTCGGGGGTCGGGAAGGCCTTCTCAATGGTCTTCACAAGCTCCTGTAGGGCTGCTGCTTGATCCTCACTCCGGTCCGCGTGAAATCCTCGGCCTCCCACGTCTTTCACTTGAAACGCCCTTGAATCTGCTCTCGAGCCGTGGCCCATGGCGGATCGGATTCCTTGTCGCCCAATAAGAAGTCATCCACGTGCGACCCGGCGACCGCCGCGATGTCGAGGTCACCCTTCGCTACGGCCAGCTCGTCAAGCACCTCTGGGTCAATGAATCCTGGCCGCGCGCGTCGCCGCACAGCGCCCCGACGCACGGGCCCATCTTCGTCTGGGTCCAGCCGAACTCTTCGAGCGCTTCGCTCACGGTCATGAACCAACCGCTCAATCGCTGCCTCGACGCGCCCGTGCGCGGCCTTCCGGAGCCTCATGGCGACACCCTCGGGTGCCCCAAGCGCCGTGGCCACCTCCTTCACGGGCATCGCAAACAAGTTGCGCTGCATCTCGCGGCCCCGGGCGAAAGCTCCATCGCGTCAGCCTTGCACCTCTTGAAGCCTAGCCACGCCATCATCTGCAGCAACATGTGCCTGGCAGTGCGTGTTATCGCGGGAGCTGCGGCCGGCCGGTGCTCGCACTCGGGGCCCATGTAGCCCGCGACCACGATCCGCACCTTCGCTTTCTTGTCGCCTGTGCTCTCGTCGATCTTCCACTCCAGGATCCACCTCATACGCATGACCTCCTCGGGAGGCGGCGTGGCCCCGGGAAGCGCGGCCTCGAGCCCTGTTGAACTTGTCCAACTCGTCCTGGGCGAGGGTTCGCTCTGAGATCTCGCGCTTCCCCTTCCTCAGCTGGCTTGCCATGTAGGTGCTCATGTGCCCGGTGGCCTGCCTCAAGGCCTTGCCCGCGACCGGGGGCCCCATCGAGACCTCCAAGGATGTTCCCTTCCGTGCCCAGAAGGCACGGGCATCAGGGGTCGCCTTGGCCATGGGCGCAGCCTGCTCTTCCAGGTTCTTCTCAGCGGCCGCTGTCCTTGACGTCCTGGCCCGGTCTGCAGCGCCTCCAAGGGGCTGCCCCTTCTTATGGATCTGCTTCCGCACGGGGGGGCCAGGCCGGCCCCTCCGGGTCACCTGGGGGCCCTTGTCGTCGGCTAGCTCAGTCGTGCGAGCTCTCTTCAGAAGCGGTGCTGGATCAGCAACTCCTTCCCAAGTTGCGAACTCCACGTCGTGCTCCGTGGGGTCGTGCCTGGTGAAGTCCAGGTACTCCTGTCGCATCGCCGGGCCCATGAAGGCGTTGATGGCCCAGGGGGCACCCTTGCCTCCCATGAGCTCGGCGCACGCGATCTCTCGGGCAGAGGCGGCTCGGATTTGGGGCAGGTCCACCTCGATGATCCACCCTGCCCGATCCAGCCAGACCGCTGTCCCAGGGCGCCCCGGGCGCAGTGCCTCACTCTGTCCCAAATCGTCGCCCATAGGGCGTTCAGTCTCTGTGGCGAACACCCTCGCGAGCCCCTTGAAGCGGCCCTTGGTCTCGCCCTTCTCCTTGCGGAAGTAGCGCGCCCACATGCCTGGCGCCGCGGACTTTCGCGCCTGGTCATTCGCGTTCTCGGCCCGGCTGATGCGCCGCATGTGGACCTGCCACAGGTATTCCTGCCCTGCCGCGTACATCCTCGCGTAGTTCTCGCCGCGTACCTTGTCGACGCGCCGAGCCTCGACGCAGGGCAGCTCGTCGAAGTCGCTCTCGAAGACGTGGCCGTCCAAGTCGGGCGCCCCTCCCAGAGCGCGTTGAAGAGGGGAGTGGCCTCGGACATCTTCTCGAGCGCCCCCGGCTGCGACCGCCCTGGCCAAGGCCTCCTCGGTGGACATCTCGGGGTTCTCCGCGACTAGCCGGTCCATGGTCGTTTTCGTGGTTTGGACCGCCTCCTCCGCGAGAGAGATGCGCCAGTGTGGGCTCGTCCCGGAATCGGTTCGTACCCGACGGAATCGGAATCGAAGTAGTCAGCGGCCTGCTTTGACATTCACGAGCCTTCAGGGCCCACCTTCGTCTTCTGTGGTTTGCCAAAATGCGGCAGCCAGCGCTTCTCGTAGAAGTCCTGAAGGTCGGCCCGCACCGGCTTGCGGTGCCGGTCCTGACCAACCATATGGCAGAGCAGCTTGCTGACCCGCACTCTGCAGCTCTCGCCGGTGAATTGCGAGAACTTTGACTTCATCTTCTTGTGGGGGTGCCCCCACTCGAACTGGTCGAACTGGATGTGCTTCCACTTCGGGGGGGTGACCTCGAGGCTGACTGGCGGGCGCGCGGGGCGGTGCTGCTCGGCCTCCGCGCACGCGCCATGGCGAAAGTCCCAGGCCACCTGCAGCACCAGTTGGCTCGCGCCCTTCCGCCTGAGCGCGCTCGGCATAACGGTCTTGGAGCTGCGGCCTGAGCCCCGGTGTACAAAGGTCGGCCAGCGCATGGTCTGCTCGTACTCCTTCGAGCTCGGGCCCGCGCCTGTCGACGTCTCTTCTCTCCCAGCGGCTAGCGCCTGTCCATCCAGCGCCTCGAGTTCCGCCAGGCACCTCAAGAACTCGCGGTAGTCTTGGGGAGCCTCCTCGATCATCGCCCGGACTGCCCTCTTCGCGAACTCGCCCGTGTAATACCCCGTGGCTGCTGCGAGGCCGCCTCCGGTGAGCTCGCCGCGCCGGTGGCCTCCGAGACACTGCAAGGCCATCCTAGCCGGCATCTTCGGGGATGCAGCGGCGATCAGCCACTCCTTGACCAGAGGCTGGCCATTCTCGTTCTTCACCCCGAGTTGGCCCCCGGCGACCTTGACCGCCCTCGTCGAGCAGTCCTCGATCATCTGCCTGATTATCCTGCGGCCCCAGCCATCGCCCTTGATGGGCCACTCCCAGCGCGCGTGCTTCCCATGCGCCACCTGGTCGTGCACCAGCTGCACCGCGGCCTGATATTCCTTGATCGACTTGAGCCTGCGCTTCCTAGCGGCCTCGGCCCTCAGAGGGTTGGCGCCGTCGAAGCCGAGGGCGAGGTTCGACAGGGGCCCACGCCGCATGCTGACCCACAGGTGGTCAGGCTCAGCCTCATCACGTGCATTCCTGGCCTTATGTGTCCGAGCAAGTGTCCCGAGTTTGAGGCCATTCCAGGCACTGACTCGCCGGACTGCATCTTCTCCAGACTTCTCCGCCATCTTGGTGCTCAGAATGGAGGCCCGTCGGCGCGCCACCTGCGTGAGCTTGATCCCCCCATGGGATAGCAGCGCGTCGAAGTCCTCCGCGTGGCAATTCTCCTCGACGCACTTCGAAAGCCAGCGTTGCTTCCTGGGATCCAGCTCCTTCGTGTGGTTCAAACCTCGGCCAGACCACTCGGACTGGAACCCACTGGAACGAAGCTCTCGCCGTTGGCGCTCGTGAAACTCGGCTGTCCCTCGAGCTTCTCCAGTCGCTGGTTGAGCTGGCTCAATGTGGTCAGCATCTGCTGCTGGGCGAACTGCATCGTGTTATTCTCCTCCTGGGCTGCGGCTTCCAGCCTGTCCTGCTCCCCGAGCTCGCCCTCCATCGTCACGTCCATCGCCCTTCGGCGGGATGACCTCGCGCCCCCTCGCGGCTTCTGCGGCCCCGTCGGGGCCTCCCAGGGGCCCCTGGCCATCTCCTCCCTGACTCGGAGAACCTCCTGCTTGTTGAGCCGCGAGACAAACCTGGCCAGCTCCCAGCTGCCCACGGTGCCCCCTTCTACCTGACGCCAGGCCGCGTAGGAGGGGCACTGGCTCAGGACCTGTTGGTACGTCAGGGCCAAGTACTTCCCGAAGCCCTTGTAGTCGGTCGGCTCCGGCGCGTGCCTCTGGAGAATCGCTTCGCGGATCGAGAACTTGGACGAAGGGTTGGTCATGCCCGGTGTCGCGCGAGCTCCGACCTCCGTCGCCTTCGCGAGCAGCTGGGCAGTCCTCATGGAGTCGAGGCCCTTCATCTCGATATGCGCGGCCGTCTCTGCCTTCGGCAACATATGTTGTCCTTGTGGTCCTGCGTCAGCTCGCCCGCGCTCCGGGCCGGGCTGTCGGGCAGGCCAAACTCCTGGAGTAGTTGAGAGACCTCCGCCTTGCAAGCCCCCGCACCGCACTGCGCGGCGCAAACGCCCTGCGCACCCGAGCCGCGCCGGCAGACCGCCCCGACGCAGGCGAGCGGCACGGCCCCGCAGAGGAGGCCAGCCCAGCGCATCGCTCTGCCATCGGCGGCCTCTGGCCTGGAATATGTTAGATCCGGAGGATCAGGAACTTCTGGTCGCTGCACGTGAACGTTCGTGTTCGACGCGGACTGCCTCGCCGGGCTCGAGCCTGAACGGCTGCGGACGCGCCCGGGCTCTTCCTGCGTGCTTCGAAAACCACCCTGGGGAGAGCTGGGGGCGAGGGGCAGATGGCAATCGATCTATGCAGGACTCGACTCGCTCTGCGCGCCCGTCTGGGCCCAGGTCTGCGCCCTGGCGCGCCGCCACGCGCGCCGTGCTCCACTCAGAGGCGGTTGCAAATCATCTCGACATTCTGCAGCTCGGCCGGGCCCGGGACCCTCTGCTCGAGCAGGTCGTTCACTGGGCTCATGTCGACTCCTCTAGCGAGTCTGGCGACTCCTCTAGCTGCGCTGGAATCCCTGGGGCCAGCTTCACGAACGCTGCGACTGCTGCGTCGCAATCAAAGACGGCCCCAAGCTTCTTCAGCACCTTCTTGGACGCGAGGATCGGGGCGTCCTTCGCGAAGCCGTCGATGGCGATGTCACCCCCCATGCCCCCGCCGGTGATGCCGAAATTCACCTGGCCGTAGGCGCGCTCCTTCTCGCCGTTCCTGAACTGTAGACAGGCTGGTAGTCCCGGCCCACCTCCCGCAGCCTCGCGTCGCCGAACTTCTCCACGTTCTTGCGGGCCACATTGTCGAGCGCGCGCTCGCCGCCCATGGCGCCCGCGCAGCGTAGGTCGACAATCCCCTTGCCCTCTCGGATCGCCTGGTCCGCGAACTTCGCCTCGCATCTCGAGCCCCCATGCTCCTGCTCGGCAACAATCGACGCCGCCAGGTTGAACATCAGCTCCTTCCTGCAGTTCGCCACCTTCGCGCTGGCCTCTGGCGGGCCCGTCGCCCCTGGCTTGAGCCGCGGGTCGTGGCGATCCTGACAGTCCTGCACCCAGTTGGCGCCGCCGCGCTTCGCGCGCTTCTTCTGGCCCGCGCTCGGCGGCGAGACCTGGCCTGGGGCGCCGCGCTGGGGAGGCGTCGGCCGACGTGACCCCGCCGGGGATCCACGGCCAGCCCCCTTGCCATCAGGCCGACTTCCACGGTGGAAGCCCCTGCTCAGGCGGCTGTCCGCCTGCGCCTCGCGGGCTTGGCGGAGGGCGCACTGGGCGGCGTGGGTCGCCGCTAGCGCCTCCGCCTCTTCGTGAGCAACGTCGCTCAAGCCATGTCAAGAGCCTCTCTACGCCGTCAACCCGTGATAGCCATCCCGACTTGCAGCATTCCGCCGCCACCGCGGCCCGGCCAGTGAGGTTCGCCTCGAGTATCGGGCCGCACAGGTACCGCCCTTCTCGGTTGGTGCCCTCCTGGTACTGGAGGGCCTTCCGCCTGTATCTCCGCCAAGTCTTTGGATCTCCATCCCAGCTTGGCACTTGTCCTCGATGATATTCGCTCATCGTAAAACTTCGTGTCGACCACGAAGCACGGCTACCATGCAAGTGGTAGGCGGAACCGCGCAGTGGTATCTATCTCCTCGGTCTTTCCCTGAACTCCAAAAGCTCAAGCTCGACCCATCGAGCTTCCTTGTCACTCCGCGCCTCTAAGCGCAAGCGAGGGGTAGGGCCAAAAAGAGAGCAGTACACACATGGACGGGCCCTGCAAAGCACCTCGCTCACACTCCTTGCGTTCTCGAATATCAATGCTCAGGCTTGCTCAGAACCAGATCAGCACATGGGGCCACGAAGCGCTGTACTGGGCGGGGGAGACGCGTGCGAACACCGCCATTGGGGCCTTCGGTGGAGCTCCCCATGGGGCCAGTAATCAATGGAAAACGTATGCCAACACCGCCATTGGGGCCTTCGGTGGAGTTCCCCATGGGGCCAGTAATCAGTGGGGGAAACGCATGCGAACACCGCCACTGGGGCCTTCGGTGGAGTTCCCTATGGGGTCACCAACAAGATACACTGGGTGGGGGAGACGGGAGACGCATGCGAACACTGCCACTGGGACCTTCGGTGGTGCTCCCAGTGAAGCGACGAAACGTGTGAGAGGTGCGCAGACATGGTTGACCGGTGCGGAGGCAGAGGCAGGGATGGGAGGAGGGAGGAGGGGGAGGGGGGAGGAAGTGGGAGACGTGTGGCGCCGTCTTTTCAAATCGACGACCCATCACCACAGCATGGTCGGACAACAACGCACGTGTGCCGCCGTCGTGCCCCCCGGCCCTGACAGTCATGCAGATACGACAGGCGAAAGTTCATCTGGTCATGATTAAGGGGAGGGCGCCGCGGTCCAGATATCCAAACGCAGCGGCAAGAGATGGCGTGCCTCCACATGCCCCACAAGTCTTTCAAACACGGCCTTGGTTGTTGCAGTATCTGCCTTGCCCTCGTCAGGTCCTATCAGGGTCTTAGCACAATCTTGGCGATGCCTCCAGTTGAAAAACTAGCAATGCCCCTAGCCGGGGGTCCTCAACAGTATCAACATATATCATATTACGCACCTCATGGGGACACCCTTTCCGAACCTCTCCAAGACTTCCTGCATGCTCCGTATTCTACCCAGCCCATCAGCACCGTTCGATCACCTTTGCTGACCGTGTAGCGTTACGCACCCCCGCAGTTGCGGATACAAGCTAAAAAACACATGTCGTGCGAGCGGGGTCGAACCACCGTGTCCTTCAAGGTCAAATCAGAAAAGCCCGCCTCAGGCGCCGAGTGTTCAAAAAAGGATGTGGGTGGGTCGTCGGCGGATCGTGCGAGCGGCACCGAACCATGGACCTGCGATTAGCCTGTCGCAAACGCTGTCTTTGTTATTCAATCGGCCAGAGTCGGTCACGGGAAGGTCGTCGGCAGATCGTGCGAGCGGGGGGCCGAATTATCATGTTCTTTCAAAACACCGCGGCTCGGTCGCGGGAAGGCCGTCGGATGGTCGTGCGAACAAGGGGATGGAGCCTGAGTTTTTTCGTGCCAATGAGAAAAGCCCGCCGTAAGCGCATTGCTTCTTTCCCGTGATGGTGGGCCGCACGTGGGTCGCGGGCGGGTCGCGGGGCCGGACGCGGGTTAGTCACGGGCTGGTCGCAGGCGTGTCGCGGGGCGCGTCTCGGGTCCTGGCCGGATCGCGGGTGGGACGCAGGGCGGGTCGCGGGGCAAGAACACCAGCGGCAATCCGCACCGCGGCAGCCAGCCACAGCCATGCGCCCAGGGACAAAACAAGACCGCTCGGCCCCCTCACTCTGATCATCTCCGCAATCTGAGACCGTACCGAGCATGGCAGATGTGTGCGGAGGCGGCTGCTGCCGCTCAGCGTGCACATGCAGCCCATGAGAAATGAACTGGCCAGGTCCAGGGCGAATACCATGGCCCCAATGAGTTGCAGATCAGAGTGAGGTGGCGGCGAGGTCGTTAGCAGTCTAAGAGACTCTGAAGAAGCGGGCCGCAAGCGACGCTTTTGTCATACGTGACCAACATAGCCAACCGCAAGGGCCCGATTTCGTAAAAGCACTGTGGGTGGGCCACGGGTAAGGGTACCTAGGGATGGTGTACGCCCTCTCGGCCCCCTCACTCTGGTTACACAGCAAGACAAAACCAGTTGGTCCGAGACGGCAGCAAGCTCGTTGAATCCCCCAACTTGATTCGGGACGGCAACAGGGTCAGAGGGATGCGTGTGCGTTTGTCTTATATTTCACGGATATATGAACATGGGTACACGAAATCGAAAAAAGCGACAACGAAATTAGTGGGCAAAGCGCAAAGTCTCCTTGGACATGTCGGTCCCCGTGCTCGGCGAAATATGCCAGCCGTGGTTCGGGTTCTGCTGCATGTCATCCCAGAAGCCCGAAGGGTAGCTGGCAATCTCCATCTCAGCCTCGACGCAATAGCTGATAACAAACAAGTAGTGTGAACAGTGGCTCGCTCAAGCGTCAGAGCAGCCCGAGTTCGCCAGGCCATAGACACCACAGTACGTCGGGAGAGGAACCTACCGATGTGATCATATTGCCCGACCAAAGATTCAGGACTGGCATGGGCGTGGGAGCACATGGGAGCGTGCGCACAGGACAGCCATGTCCTGGGAGGAAAGGATATAAGAGATGGCAAAGGGAACAGACGGGAAGCCACAGTCTTGCAGAGCTCCTCGCGGGTTCCTTGGATCGGCATTGGGCCCCCCGAGCTGCGCCTCTGGCGCCACGCTCCGTGCGCCAGCGGCAGGGGTTTTCAGCGCCGATCCGAGAAACCCGCGCGGACTCAGACAAACGATTCCCCCATCAGCGCTTGCACTGAAGGGGTCCTATAGCGGATGTTGAAGGATTTGGCGCAAGTTCCCCGCCGATTTTGGTGGCAAGCTGGGTTCCCGGGTTCCCGGGTTCCCGGATTCCCGGCTCCGGGTTCCGGGCCGATTTCGGAGGGCGGCGAGGTTCCCGGGTTCCCGGGTTCCTGGTCGCTCTTCTCATCGATCGGTCTCACCATCGATCTCATTACCGACTTCTCGATCGATCTCACCATCGATCTCACCATCGATCCCACTATCAATCTCACAAGCGATCTCACTAGAGATCGCATGAGCGATCTCGCGATCGATCTCATTGAATCGATTTCACTCTCAGTCTCACGATCGACCCTACAATCGTCCTCACTATCGAATTCACTACCGATGTCATTATCTTTCTCACAATCGATCTCAAGATCCATAGTATCAATTGTCAAATCATCCACAGATTGGGTTTTCTCAGGTGTAATGTTCATTCAGTTCTTCTCGTTCCCCGACCAATTCGGCGTGCCTCAAGTTGTCGCCTCGTCATCGAAAGCTGTTTTACAGCCTGCAACACGCAGGGGTAAACGTGTCTTTCCGTTGGCACTGTCTCAACAGATCTCCTGGGCAGGGGTCGGCCCAAACAATGTGTTGCGTGTTCGTTCAATTGACGTTTGCGGCGGTGTGGCACGAACACCAATCTCCCGAAACAGCGTTCCGGCGCAAATCCAAAATGGCTGGCCAATGGTATTGAAAACGACACGAGGACGAAGAGAACCCGATATCAATCCACGACATTGCCGAACAAATGTGTTGGTCGACCCCTGTCCCTGGAATAGCAGGCTCGAGCCCCGTGCATGCACCTGGGGAGCACCCCT